GTAGCACAATAAATATTATCTCCCTCCAATACCTTATATAGCTCATCTGGTATGATTATGGTATTGCCTCTTACACTCATACACAAATAGACAAAAACACATATATACACACAAAAGAAAGAACAAATCACTATCATGAATGCAATTAGAGCTAGTATTTTCAATTGTAGGCTAAATTATAATATGTTCATAGCTAAAGGATAAAATACAATGAACTTGGATTATTTTCATAGCAACTCCCACTTCCTTGAAAAGGTACTAAAGCCGGGACCAGTTTGGCTCAGTGGATAGAGCTCGGCCTGCAGACTGAAAGGTCCCGGGTTCGATTCCTGTCAAGGGCATGTACCTTAGTTTCGGGTGCAAGAGGCAACTGATTGATGATTCTCTCTCATCAATGTTTCTAACTCTCTGTCCCTCTCAATTCCTCTCTGTGTAAAATCAATAAAATATATTTTTTAAAAGGTACTATAAACTTATGAAAATGAAAATGATATTTTAAAAAAATTTTGTATTTCCCCAAGAATAATTTAAGAAGCAGTAATAATTGTAAATATAAGCAACTGACAACGTCTAAAGAACTAGGTAGTCAATTAAGCATTTGCCAGGGAAACAGAGGGCATATGACATGTTCTGTACCTCTCCTAAAGGGGAAGGAAGTTTTACCAGCTTTGAAGATGTTTACAACCTGGTGTAGTATATATGTTTCCTCAGATTTAAAACTTTTCTCAAAAGAATTCCCCTACAACGAGATCTCTCTACTATTACAGTCAACTTTAAAGTTACTGAAAAGGGTCCTGTGTATTTGACATCACCATCTGCCAACCTACTGCTAAAACTTAAAATAACACTTAAAATATATACATACTCACAGATTGCTTGCTCAGATTAGAGAGAAAATTCTAATCACAATTGCAATATGACACTTACAAGAAACAGATCACAGTCCTCAATGAAAATGTCCTTCCGATGACTGTAAACATTCTGACAAAGATGCTACATAATCAGTTCAGCAAATAAATAACTGAAAACAAAACGAGTATTTTCCAGCAGCCTTTGGCATTAGAGAGAAAGGATAAACCAGAAGAGAAATAATATAAAGAGCTTATACATATACAATAATAACAAGATACCTTACCCTAGAACTTAGAATGCCTGAAGTGACTTATGAACTTAATTTAAAAGTTTCTTTGTCATGTTATTTATCAATTATCATTATTTAAAACAGTCCACCAGGTAATACAGACATACAGAAGTCTTTTGACAGAATGATTCCCCTTCTATGACATAAATTAAGGAGCAAAAATGGGAGGGCCTTAGCTGGCTTGGTTCAGTGGATAGAACATCGACCTGAGGACTAAAGAGGCCTAGGTTCGATTCCAGTCAAGGGCACATGCCTGGGTTGCAGGCTCAATCCCCAGTAGGGGGTGTGCAGGAGACAGCCCATCAATGATTCTGTCTCATCATTGATGTTTCTATCTCTCTCTCCCTCTCCCTCTTCCTTCTTTGCTGAAATCAATAAAAAAAAATTTTTTTTTGATGGGAGGAATAAAATGATATCTACAATACATTTTTTTCAACTAGGTAAATGCTATTTTAATCAGGACTAGATTCATTGCTCCTGTGCAGATTAATTTTATTTGGCAACTTAGCTAGGCCACAATAACCAGATTTAGTCAAATATTATTCTAGATGTTTCTGTGAAACTTTTTTAGATAAGATTAACATGTAAGTCAACATAACTTGAGTTAAGTAGATTGTACTCTATCATGTGAGAGGGGCATATCCAATCAGTTGAAAGCTTTAATAATAATTTTTGTTAACACCTTCTTGGAGGAACAGGGAATTCTGCCTCCAGATTAAGATTGCTATTCTTCTCGCGGTCTCCAGATTTTGGGCTTACCAGCCTTGACAGTTATGTGAGCCAATTTTTTAGAATCTCTTACTCACATACACACACACACACACACACACACACACACACACACACAACCCTATCTCTCACATTTCATTGGTTCTCTGGAGAATCCTCATTTAATCCATATACCATCAAATTCAACATTCAGTAAATTATCTTATCACCTTACACTTACTATATTAGCTTATCCTATTTAATCCTATATAATAAAGAGCTAATATGCTCATTAGACCAGCAGAACGACCTTCCAAATGACTTTCTGGAACGACCAGTGGGAAAAGCCATGGCGACACGAGGCAGCCAGGGCTGCGATGGGCTGAGCCCCTTGCACGACTTTTGTGCGTGAGGCCTCTGGTCTATATATATAAAAGCCTAATATGCTAAGTGTCCAACCAATCTGTCAAACATTCGGTCAACCACTCAACCAGTCACTATGACCACCCAATTACTATGACCACGAGGTGCAGACGCTCCAACAGGTAGGTTAGCTTGCTGCTGTGGTCTGGCTGACTGGGACTGGGCGAGACCTTCCAGACACACCCTGGAGCCCTCCCGAGGTCTCTCCCCAGCCTGCTGACCCAATCAGCCCCAATCAGGACTGGGAGAGAGGGCCCTGATTGGCACTGATCACCAGTCAGGCCGAGGGACCCCACCCATGCACAAATTCATGCACCGGGCCTATTGTTTTTTGATAAAGTGATATGGTAATAAATGAACCCTACAAAAATAAAAAATAATAATCTCCTTAATCTTACAGCTAGCAGCACTGATAAGAAACAGAACATCTTTCAAAAACTACAATCCAAACTCAGCAGGTAGCTGAGTGTCTTCCACAAACATCTTTTTGAGGGGCTTCCACAGGCCTTCCTGCACCTGAATTACAGAGAGCTAAATAAACATCATGAAAGTGAAAACAACTGAGTTTCCCAACACCATAGTAGCTCATCCTCCCCTGTGGTTCACATTCTCTTCCAGCTCCCTCATCAACACATCAGTACCCTGGTTATTCTGCCGACTTGAATATGGTATTGAGTTCCTCTAGAAAGTTTAGTATTTCATTTTTTGTATCTCTTCAACACCAGAATTTCCATTTGGTTTTTCTATAATTTCTAACTCCCTATTGAGACCCCCTATTTGTTGAATCATCATTATCATACTTTCCTTTAACAGCTGCTTTAAAAACCCTTTGCTGTAGAATTTAACCATGGAGACAATCAGCTTCTATTTCCTTTTTTCTTCAATATATCACATTTTCCTGTTTCTTGACATGTGTCATAATTTTATGTTGAAAATTAAACATTTTCTATAATACGGTATAACATTTCTGGCATCTGTCTTCCTACATAATGTGAAGTTTTACTTCTCTTTAAGTCTTGTTTTTTATTTTAAAGTCTGGTTTCCTGATGGGTTGCCCGTCTGTCCATGTAGCTTGGGGGTTAGCTGAGATTTTGCTCGAATACTCTAAGTCAACAAAGGCTGTCATCCTTCCCAAAAGAATCTGTGTGTGGACAGGGGAGCACATTCAACATTCATAACATTTTCAAGTCTCCCAAGGTTTTCATTCCCCCAGACTCTTTCATGGGTCCTCTGCACATACCTGAAGCCACTGCCCTCACAACTCAGATATCCCCCAGACTACCATGGACAATGTTCCAGGGTTGGCAAAACCTGCTGCTCCAAGTTGAATGTGCATCTTCCAACCACAGCAGGGAAAGTGCCCATCCTCGTGATCTTCCCTACTCTTGAAGAACCAACCAAATTAGGAGGAGGACGGGTGGAGTGTGATGGGAGCAGCTCCAGGGATGAATGCTACAGATTCCCATTGTTACCACTTAAAATTTAAACACTTCTCAAACATAAACACTTTTCAGATTGTTGTAAGCCATTGGTTGAGTTCCAGAGCACTGAAATGGTTGCTTCTGCCTGTTTCACAGATAATCTTAGTCCTAAATCATAAACTTCCATCATTCTTAAATGTATTTACACCAGTTTCTGTTCTACTTTATAGCTTTATAACTACTTTGGAAGTCTTTACTCTTCTATATGTATTGCCAAACCTCCCATTCTTTTAGATTCAACACATGCACACCTTCTTCATGAGGCCTTCACCCCTTAAACCACACACACAATGATCTCTACTTTCACTGAATTCCTTTTATACATAATCCTATATAATAAAAGGGTAATATGCAAATTGACCCTAATGCAACAACAGGGAACAACCAATCGCTATGATCAGCACTGACCACCAGGGGGCAGACGCTGAACACAGGAGCTGCCTCCTGGTGGTCAGTGCACTTCCACAGTGGGAGTACCACTCAGCCAAAAGCTGGCTCATGGCTGGCCAGTGCAGCAGCCATGGCAGGAGCCTCTCCCACCTCCTCAGCAGCTAAGGTGCGCTCCCCAAGCTGCCAGAGGAATGTCTGATACCCCAGGGAGTGGTCCTAAGCTGGCAGGTGGACAACCCCCAATGGTCCTGGACTGTGAGAGGGCAAAGGCTGGGCTGAGCCACACACACACACACACACACACACACACACACACACACACAGCAGTGCACGAATTTTCGTACACCAGGCCTTTAGTTATTTTATTATTATTTTCTGTGTATTACACTTTTTTTTCTCAGCTATATCCTTAAGGCTTTGGGACAAAGAATTAAGTTTTCATACTTCTGTATCTTTACCCCATACCTGACATATTGCTAACTATACTGTAAATTTGTGCCTAGTTCAACCCCCAAATTTAAAATTATAACACATGTAGTTAAACCACTTCCCTAAAAAAGCACAATTAAGACACTAAAATCTAATCACGTTATAACATTAACACATTCTTCCCTTCTTCACTGAATCCATGATCTAAAGTGCACACATGAGCTGAAAGCATGTGACAGGGACTCCTGCTTGCCAAGGCTAATATCCATTTTAATCATCTCCCTTTCTAACAAAATTAGTATTCTCCTGGCAGTGAGGAGTTCACAGTAGTCATCTTAAAATCATTGGGGAGATGAGTCATCAAAAGTTTTCCCTCTGAAATCATAAATTTTTAATAATGGTTTAAAGAATTTTTAAAATTTCCTTACCCAGAAGATCCAGTGCTCTTACAAACTCCAAGAAGGGGCCTTTTCTCTGCAAAGCTGTCACACTTTTGAGTACCTGATACGGAATATAAAATGTAAAACAAAATTTTGAGAAGTATTCTTACATAATGTCCATTATTTTCATGCTCTCAGAATATTTACAGCCAAAGAAATACCAAAACATTCATTAAAAATTGATATGATTTTTATACTAGTTTTTAGCAAAACTGGAAAATGTATAAATAAACCTGTAATTATTTTTAATTGAATAAAATATATTTTATTTTAATTGGCATAAACTTAAAACTTATACACATTCTCCAGGAGCTCAAAAAATCACCCCCAATTCTACCAACTAATTATCTAGGAATAGTATGACCTTGATTTTAAAACTAAATAAAGGTAAGTCAGGAAAGGGAAATTATAAAATTATAGGCCATTCTCAAAACATAAATGCAAATGCAAATATCCTTTAAAAATATTAAACTAAATACCAATGTATTAGGAAAAGTAAAATCTTATAACCAAGTTGGATTTACCCAAGTAATAGTAATAATTTTACATTATAAAACCAATTAACATATTCATCCTATTGTTTCAGCAGATGCAGAAAAGCATTCAATTAAATTATACAGATAGTCATGATAATAACAAAAGAAGCAACAAAAAATTTTCTTACCACAATAATGATTATCTACAAAAGAACTACAAGTATCATTGGTAATGTTTCAGAGCATTCCTATTAAAATCAGCAATAACAAAAGGATGCCCAATGTAACTGCTCTCATTCAACCCTATACTGGATGAACCAGATAGGATAATAATAATCAATAAACTCAAAAATATTACAGGATATGAAACCAATATAATAGCAGCAACGAGCATAAAAATAAAGTCATGAAATGCAAATGTATCTAAATCCAGGCAAGGAGGGGAAGGAGGAAGAGGAGGAGGAGGAGATTTTGTCACCTGCCTACACATAGAAGAATCTTGAGAACATTATGCTAAGTGAAATAAGTAATAAAATAAAATAAAAGACAAATACTTTATTATTCCACTATGTAGTCAAACTCATAGAAACAGAAAGTGAAATGCTGTTACCAGTGACGGGGGTGGGTAAAGAAGGAGAGGGCTGTTCACGGGGTACCAAGTTACAGTTTTATGAGCAGAAAAAGTTCTAGAGATGTGTGAATGTATTAGCACTACTAAATAGTACAGTTAAAATCTGTCCAGATGGTAAATTTTGTTAGGCAATTTTTATAGTTTTATTACAGATTTTTGAAAAAGATAGAAATAAGTTGTATGTGTGGTTAGACACTTATATACATACATATTTTGTTATATGAAGCACAGAATGCATAAACTCATAAAGATAAACAACAATTTCAAAATAGGGATCCATTCCTTAGGGAATTATGATAAAAGTATTTGGGAGAGACAGGGAACTTCAACACTTTTTAAACAATATTTTCTGACTCTTCACTAATATTCCATTTCAATGGATCTCTCCAAGGATTATGAGGTTTTAATATGGAGGATGCAGCTTAATAGTTACACATTTAAACTGTGACATGACACAATATAAATATTTTTAAATTTTAAATATAGTAGTTATACAAAATAAGTTAGGGCAAGTTTTTTCATCCCTTGGCAGACTCTATTATCAACACCAGAATATGATAAAGATCAAAACTAAAACACAATTAATGTTTACTAATAAAGTTCTTTATAACTAAACTTTTTAGGAACTACAGCAATCAGTGTTTAAGTACCCCTTCAAAACAAATAAATCAGATTTTATAATTAACAATGTGCCTTGAACGAAGCACAAGTTAAAAATTAACTGGTTCTTAGAGCCCTATTATTGATGTTAAATTTTATTTTAATTAGTAAAAAAAGGTGAGACACAGAGAGCCTCCTGAGAAGGCACGTGGACATTCTTTTAATTCTTATCAGCTGAGCTCGAGGGCACTAACAGAATCCTCTTATCAGTACTGATTTCTTAATCCAAGTGCTTGGAATGAGGAACAAATAGGACCTTGTCTCACCCAGGTCTAAGCTAAATCTTGAACCCAGATTTTGATGAATAGGATCTGGGCACACCCAAAACTCCTTTTGACTTAAACTCCCCTTTGGAGGCCAATAAAAATAAAAAATAAAAAACCAAGGGAATTAAAAAACCTGATGAACAATATTAACTGTTGAATATAATAGAATCAGAGGTATGGAAGGGAAGTGGACTGATGATTCTCAAGGAAAAGAGTGGGGAGTGCAGGAAGAGACTGAACATAAACTGCGCACCAATGGATGAGGAAAATGGGGGGGTGGGGAAAGGCAGGTGGGGTAGAAACTTGGTGGAGGGGGGAAAATGAGGAACTTTTATAATAATATTAACAATAAAGGTTTCTTAAATAATTATAATAATAATAATAATAATAATAAATTAACTGGTCCAAAGCCCACAATCTTTATGTTCTAAATTAATTATGACTGAATTTCATCTCTTCAAGCCTACCTCTTCACTCCTACCTATTTCACTTCCACCTTTAACAATAGCTATTTTCATTCTGCTTCCTGGTATCAGCAAGGTCTTCACAGCTTGTACATGGATTCAACACACCACTTTGATATGCTGATGAATGAAATTTCATGGTCTTAAAATGCAAATAATCCTGGCAAAAATGATTTGATTGTTTTGGGTTTCTCAAACCTGAATTCAAGAACTCCATTGGTTTAGCTGACCTGTTCAATTAGTACAACAAACTATAGATCAACCACCTAATACTTACTAAAGACTCATGGGTATTTAGCAAAGGAATCAAAAAAAAAAAAATTTTTTTTTAAGTACAAATTCAAGTAGTTGGAAAATTATACAACAAAACCTTAATTCTGCTTTAAATAATTTCATTAAGGGTAGTTTGGATAAATACAATTCTAAAAGTGTTAGCATAAAAATTCTACAATCTTATGAATACTGTAGCTATTAACCTGATTTTTCATGCAGTATAAATAGTAGCATGTACTCTCCATGATGCTTAATGGAGTCATCACTCTCCCACACTGTAATCCTCCAAACTGTAGAGGATTAACTTTTTATATATAAAATTGTGTTTATTTGCATGTACAATAGAGAGAATGACGTTACACACACCTGTTCTACAGCATTTAACAGAATGCAGCATGGTGATTGAAATGAAAATCAGCTAGCCAAATCCATCAAATATAAAATCTACTGCAATCCTGTTGCAAAGTCCTTTTGTTAAACTCCTTTTATTCTAAATCATTTTAATTCTGTCCTATAACACTAAAACATTTATAAAAAGCTTAAAATCCTAATAAATCGCACAATTAAAATAATGAAAATGGGCTTGCCCACAAAGTCACAACTCCACTCAAAAAATTCAAGACAGTTTGAATGTCAGAAAATGTTAAATAATACCCCTCACCATACATGCCATTGTAAACTCATTTAAACCAATGAGTTTAAGCTCATAAATCAGCCTTAAGGATTTCAAGATAGCAAATAGAAACCACTTCTGTGAAGATCCAAAAGCAAATCCAGATGCAAATAAAAATCCAACTGATAATGAAATATTCCAACTCTGCTCTTTTGATGTTGTGGATGATGTCTTAAGTATAAATATTTTACACAAAACTATGTTAATAGTAATAAATTCTAAGTGTGAAAATCTTTTGCAGAAAGATTCTATTGAAGAACTTAATGCATTTTATCAGTTAAACCTGTGGTCCGCAAACTGCAACTCAGGAGCCACAAATGGCTCTTTGGCCTCTTGAGTGTGGCTCTTCCACAAAATACCACAGCCTGAGTGAGTCTATTTTGAATAAGTGACATTAGAAAACTTTTTAAAAGGTGGCTCTCAAAAGAAATATCGTTGTACTGTTGAGTTTGATGACCACTAAGTTAAACCATTTCCAAGTCTTCCATTCCATTTTTTATTTACTTGAAATAATTACTTTAGAAAAATACTTAATTCTGTTTGTCTACATCCAGTTTTTTTCATAGATTCTCGTAATGTGAGAATAAAATTGTAGTCATGTATTACAGGTCTAAATTTTGGCTAAAAAATAAGATTCTTTTGTCAATTTAAGTCAGATTTTTCCCACTAAAAATTTCTATTTTCTTACAAAATTTTCCACTGTGTGCTATAAAGCAATCACCATTATGAACTGGGTAACTTCATATAAGTCCCTTACCTAAGCAAAAGAATTTTTAAAGACAGGATATGAAGTGGAAAATGAGGTGAGGAAGGAAAAATAGGAAAATAGATATACACGTTGCAGGTACCATCAACCAACCACGGGAAAGAGCAACAGGACAGAAATCTTATTGCCTTGAACAGTTTTACCTAAATATGATTACAAAGACATCTTTTCCACTTGCCTAAAATAGCCAAAATATGTATATACATTTTAGCCTCCACAGTGACTCCAAATAGTTTAAAATATTAAAGACAACCTTTTTTCATTATTGCTAGCTTTATTACCTTCCTCTGAATGTTAAAATGTTCCGTATGTGAAGTATCCCTTAACATTTAAAGGTCCCATATTATTTCACTTTGATAATCAGTCTTCTTATGCTCTCTCACAGATGAGACTCATCAAACTTTAAGGAACACAAGATTACAAACCATCCATATGACAGAGGAGTAAACTGATAGTAAGAAAAGTTAAATAACTTGCCCAATAAATGCCACATGTGACCCTGAAAGACAGCCCAGAATTCTTCCCTCTGCTCACTTAAATTAAAAAAGTACTGCTATATAAAACTATGATCAACTTCTTCACTTACAAAAACAAAATTATTGGCAAAGGTTAATGCTTTAATTCTATCATCTGCAAAGTAGAGATAAGTACCAATACTTCACCTAGTATTGTGAGAATTATTAAAAAAAAATAAAAAAAAATAAATGCAATGGTACTGAAACAGTGAGAACTCAATAAATTTAATGCAATTATATTGCTGCTGGCAACTGTAATATGGTAAATCCATTTATCTACTTTTCTGGTGAAGAAAAAATAAATACTGTTCACACCCTTGACTATTTTCTTGCTCTT